CCGATTTCACTGCATGCCAAGGTTGTGCCTCTGCTATTTCGCGATCCTCTACCTCCAAGACATTGATTAAACGATGTCCCTCTGAAAAATGTTTTTCTTATGTGCCTTTATCAAATCTTATCTGTTACCCCACAAAGCCTCGTACTTATATACATGCGGACACTTGTTCGGTTTTACTTTCCGTCTCGTTAGGCTATGCCAAATCTCTACTATTATTTCATTTTTTTGCCCCAGTTTGATCATTTTTTATGAATGGTCAAGTGTCTAGGATCTCTGATATTCAACTTCCTTCTTCGGTGTCTACACTTTATGTTGATGGCTCTTTCTTTCCTCTCTCTAGTCATTCAACACCTTCGATGGCTTATGCATGGACTGCTATCGATTCTGATGGATTTATTCTTGAATCTCATTATAATACCATTCCTTCTCTTTTTCCTTCTGCTTTACGTTCAGAAGTTTTTGCTTTATTACATGGACTGGACTTCCTCCCTCAGAATACCAAGATTACTGTTGCCACTGATTGTGCCCAATTGCTTTCTTTATGGTCTTCATACGTGGAAACTCCTTTTGTTCCTCGAATGCTTAAAGAATCTAACCACCTCTTGTGGTCCTCCATGAGATATATTGTCTCGCAAAAGAATCTGGATGTTACATTGATCAAGGTTCCTGCTCATGCTGATGACCCTTTGAATAATCATGTGGATGCATTAGCTAAAGCTGCTCATACAGACTCGCAAATTTCCTCTTAGTCTTTGTTTGAACCTTTAGCCCCTTGTATTTTACAATTTAATTCCTTATCTGTGGATATGAATATTTGGAAATTTATTAGTAACATCTTTGACGCCAAGAGCCTTTTGACTCTTGCTGTATTACCAAGATTTAATTTTAATTCTCCTATTTTGGATATCAATTGGGCTTGTACAAAATTTTGTCTTAACAACAATAAACAAATTTTCTCCCATCAGAATGACTGTTCTGAATTTTGTGCCTTCCATATTAAAATATTATTAGATATGCTTCCGACGCTTACAACTCTTCAGAGACGAAAGCCTTGTCTCTATGATCCAAGTTGGCTTTGTCCTTAGTGCAACTCCTTTCCAGAAACTTTAGACCACTTGTGGACTTGTCCTTATATTTTACCTGAATTTAGTTCTCTTAATACTTTCAAAATACTTCTATAGTTCTATTGGATCTTCAGACCAATTATCTTGATAACCTTCTTTCCGCGTCTCCTTTAATACCTTTGCCGGATTCTTTTGTTGATAAATTTACGGCTATTGACTATTGGAAATGTGACCCTCCTTCGATTTCCTGCCTGCGACTCGCACGCGGACTTATACCGATGTCCCTTACAGGTTTCCTTAGAACCTATTTTTCACCATCTACTATTTGGTCTATCTTAGATAAGCCTTTACACAACTTTCATTTTGACCTTTATGTTCAAATCTGGTTGTGTCGTTCTGTTTTTTTTCATCATTGGGAATCAGCTCAAAACATCACTAATAAAATGAAATCGTCTGCCAATGGGCCTTCTTCTACTTCTCACCTTTCCTTTATTATTTCTCCTGATTCTTTGACACCTTCCTTGGCGACAGTTTCCTTGGATTCCTGGGTTTCTTGGGTTTCCTCTTCTATAATCTGTGGTGGATCTTGGATTTCGCACTTGGATTTTTGGCGCCGCTTAACAGTTCAGCCTCTACTTAGGATTTCTTTTGGGTAACGGATTGGATCTTAGGGCATGTTGGATAGTTGACTCACACTGGCCTTCGGGTAAAGTTGGGGTATACGTATTCTGTAATAGTTTAGTTTTTCTTTACTTAATTTTATTTTGTTTAGATTTCTTTACTTGTATGAATCGTGAAGCTAGTTCTTTTATTTTTTATGTTTATTTTTATATATTTCATGTTTGTAATATTGTTCGATTTGATTATTGTACTTTTCGTTTAAAATTATAATAAAAGATAAAGTCATAGGACTGTTTGCTCATAATCACCAAATATGGACTGTCCCAAATGTATGACTATAAAGAGAGTTGATTGTAATCAATAAAAATTTAGTGGTTATAGTAATTTTAATTGATAATATACAATTTAATCTTACACTTATATTTTTATATTTCCCAAATATATTATATTAATTCAAATTAAATAAAAAAATAAACATTTATATAATAAAAAATTTTTTTATTGGCATTTTGTTAAAGTATGAATCTTTTTGCACTGGCCCATATTTACTAATGAAAATTTTTAATACATTTTGTAATTCTTTGAAAATATTTTTCATTTGTTAAATCTTTATAATACTATTTATATTCACAATTTAAATTATTGCATGATATATTATTTTTTAATGATTTTAATAGAACTCTAAATAATACTAATACAATTTACAAATAAACTTTAAATACTAAAGTAAAAATATATTTTATAGTATAATTTTATTAATATTAAAGCTAAAAATGCAATTTACTATCATTAGAATCCTCTTATTGAAACAATTCCAATTATATAAATTTTATTAAAATTGAATTACTAATTGTATTAAAAATAAAAATATGTAGAATACCAAAATTTTGAAATATTTCTGTAATATGCAACTTTTGAAAAATTTTAATATAAACTCTAAACAAATTTAAATGTGATGAGTTATATCTGTATTATTTAAAATCCTATTTCAATGCAATTCTAGTTGTCCAATTATTTTCTTTATTAGATAAACTTAAATAAATAATAATTTTATCTAATTTGCAAAGATCTATATAATTATTTCTTGTGAATTTGATTTTATTTAAATAAACTTAAAACTTTAAATGCATTTGTGTAATTCATTTCATACTGTATATATTTTTTTATTTTAATGTATATACTAAAGATTTCACTTACTTTTAATAGAGATTACCAGGACCCACTTATTTATAATAAAGGTCACTGTAGAAAATTGGCCCTTTACTAATAGTTTTTACCTTACTTTTTCTTAAATTCTATTGGTTAATTAGCTAAAAAGGAAAAAAATCATAACAATGTAACATAAAATTTCCTTTTATAATAGGAACTGCAAAGAATTTTATATATGATTTTTACCTTAAACCTGGGGGTAACCTATCTTATAAGTAAGCAAGATCCTGGTTACCCACTAGTTTAAGGTAAAATTTATATATAAAATTAAAAAAATCTATTTAAGTTTATAAGGTAAAATTTTTTATAAATTAAAAAAAGCAATATAATTCTGTAATAAGTTTTTTTTATATAACTGTTAAATATTTAGTAAAATTAATGTAATATTTTATTATATAGACATATAAAATTTATTATACTATTTTTAGTATAAGTTTATTACATAACTAAATACATAAAATTTTATTACACAAACATGTAAAATTTATTATACTATTTTTAGTACAAGTTTATTATATGGATATGATCACATGAAAGAATTAAAAAAAATATTTGTGATGTAAAGATATTAATAAATTTTATTAAAATAATTAATTACAAATATAATTTTAACTTAATGTTTTAATTTAATTTAAAAAAATGTTAAAAATATCAAAAATCTATATGAATTTTAACTATACTTCTGAAAATGGTCAGAAAAAGAAAAACTAAGAAAAATATATGTAAAATATATAATATAGTATTATTACCCTTTCAAAATATTCAAATAATTAATAATCATACAATCTTATTTGCAAAATAATTATATTTAGCCTTTACCATCCATTTTATAATTAATACAAATTCCTATTAATTTTTTTTATGTATTATCTTTTACAAATTTACTAATTTTATTTCCTAATATTGTATCATACTTTTCAAATTCTACAGTATTATTAAATAATTGTCCATTTAACCAAAACTTATATTCTTTTTCATTTGTATATCTTGTTAATTTTAATTCATTTGCCACATTCTATAATAGTAGTATAACTGTATCCAGTACTTGAATTTTTAAGTTGTGATAATAAATAAGAAGAAATTAGACTTTACTATTATATTTAAAAAATAATAGAACTTTTAATAAAATTAATAAAGTTTGTTAAATTAGTTTTTTCCAATATACAACAAAATAAAAATAAAAATTGTTTAGAAGTAGATACTTTATTAGCAGATGTATTACGTCTAAATTATGATAGGTGTTTATACAATTATCATAATATTAATAAAGTTTTTTTTTTAAAAAAAAAAAAAAATAAATAAATAAAAATTGTTTCAGAAATATTTATTAATTATTACTAATTACATAATTTTTTATCACATTTCAGAAAAAAATATTTTGTCATATAATCATCTACAAAAAAAAAAGTATGGGTCATATGATCATATAAAAAATCATCAAACTGTCTAACATCCAGAAAAATTCATTAATTTTGATAATAAAAAAAATATTTTTTTTTTATATTTCAAATAAAACTTAATACATACTTTATTTTTGCCTTTTGAGCAAGTTTACTTAATTTTAAATGCCATTTTTGCAAAATTCATCATATTGAAAAAATATATATATAAACCAAAGATTACCATATACAGTCAACCCTTGTTATAACGAACCCTAGGTTCCAGACCTCAACTTCGCTATAGGGCTATAGTGAAGATTTTAAGAGATTTGATTGGTTAATTCGTTATAGCAAGGGGAAATTTATTATAGTTGTCTGAAAAATTCACTATATCAAGGGTTTGCTATATCAAGGTTTGACTGTATAATTTAAAATATTTTAAATTTATATCCAAGTTTTATTTAAAAAATCATCACATCCGTCACACCCCTCAGTGTTTTCATTGTTTAGGGACAGTTTTTATAAAATCTTATTCTTCACTTTGTCACCGCACTGTTCACGTGATAGTGCATAATTCCGCATAATGCCGGCCAACCAGTGCTTTTTTTCTTGATGTAGTTTATTCACATGCATGTGATTTTCCTGGCGGTTAAATTAGATTCTCATCAATCACGAGATGATAGGCTAACCAGATTTTGTGTAGCATCTAAGTTACCAATTTATCATTACTTAATCCAAAATTATCGTTAACTCAAAGCCTACAATACAGAAAGAGAAGTCGCGTGTTCAGAAATATATGCGACAATTATCTTTACGAATACCTGATAAAGAGAAGGGAGCAAGCTTCTTTCGTGAAAGAAGTTCAAGTCGAAAATAGTTCCTATTGTGCTACTACTAAAACTTAAGAACGAGCATGAACTCGAAGTCAACGTAAAAAGTGCTTTGGACGCGTTTGAGGTTAGGATTTGGTTTTTTTTGGTGCTGTGGCATTCTTGTATAGAGTATCTTCGGTTGCTCTTGTGATGATCTTCTGTTCGAGTAATATAAGTTATGGCTTTTACCGAGTAAGAGCATCTTCGGTTGCTCTTATGATAAACTGAGGTTTGAGCTTTATCTAGCAAGAGCAACTTCGGTTGTTCTTGTGTCCAGATGAAGTTTAGTCAGTTACAGCACATTACACAATGATGTATGCATTTTTTAAGGTATTGACGCTTATTTTTCTTTTAAAGTGGAAAAAAAATCTTTAAAAGTGACCAATTTTTGGACGGAAATCCAACATTTAGAAGAGGAAAAAAAAATGTTCTCATTGGGGCACCTCAGCATATTCGGGAAAACGGTAAAGAGTTAGATTAGAGCATTTGTAAGAGGATCTGGATCGTATTTGCTTATTCTAACACTTCTTTCTGTGAACAGCTTACTCAATATGCAAATGGAATTGAAAGTACAAATTTGCCAACTAATTTTCATCATCAACTAGAAGTGCAACAAGAATTACCAAAATCTGATGCAGAGTTTAATCCAATGCGAAACTAGTATGTTTGGCGCTACCACTACAAATTCAAACATTGACACCGACTATCTATCATGAACACAATGGACTATTAAACAATCACATCGATATTATAACCAATGTTACGGATGATTATATACAAGAAGCAGTGGAGTCCATGGTTGGAAAAGTGAGAAGTGGCATATTGGAAGTGGATAATATAAATTTGGAGAAATTTTCGAAAGTACCGCGATGAGTGTGAAAGTATATTTGGGTGAGTAAAATCGTCTCCCAAAATTATATGAACCTGTTTTATTCATTGATTTGTTATCAGTTTATGCCATAGCGATATTACGGATTTAAGACCCACTTCACAGTTGACAAAAATTAATCCCAAAGTGACGTGGGAAAAATTTATCTTGGATACATATCCTAACCATAAAATATCAGAAAAATGGGAAGAATTAATACAAGGTTTTTTTAAGGTATATTTAAGATCTAGAAATTCCGAATTATTTTTGAATTAGCTAGTCCTAATTGTTGTTTATCAATTAGCCAAAAAATACCCTAACCGAATGGGAGAAAGCCTGGCGCAGACTTTTTGACGAAAAAGAAAGTAGTGAAGATCTGGTGATAAAAGATACTTTATACAATATGCTCTCTCCAAAGTACGTTCAGGCTTTTATGATGTCTGTATTTTTATATTTAGTGGTATAATGTCATATTTGAATTTATTCTTTTAGTATTGAAGCTTTTAAAGCACCGTTTAATATACTAAAGTCTGGTGATTTGGAGGAAAATCAATATAATTCACAATTTGTAAATCCCATTTTAAAAAATACGCTCAATGCTATTTGTAGTATGGATTGGAGAATGTAAGTTATTCAATTCCGGGAAAGTATTTTTTGTAGTGGTTAACAATGTTATTACCTGTTAATAGTCTCGAGGTTCCAATCAGAAGTAGCAAATATCGACGCAATTCTAATATCGATCCATTCATTGATAAAGTTTGAGTGCGAAACGTGCGGATGGTTGGCGCGTCGATGGCGAAACATTCGTGTATGAACAGACAGGAGGACCAGATGTTGATGATGTTACCGATTTTTACGTCCAAGATTATAAATTGGGGCGAACCATGCGTGATGTTTTAAATCAACGAATTATTCTTCGGCTCAATGATAGTATAAAAGATTGCGACAACTTGGCTAGTTTCGGTGCTCTGGGTCATCGTGATGAAGTATCTCTGTTTTGGTGCATGATACACCAAAGATCTTATTGTTTACGTAGCTTTCGCATACCCACAATATGGCAAGATCTTCCCGTTCTATCCGAGGCAGTAATAACATGCTTGAAGTTTTTTGTGAGTGCCACTAAATATGATTCTACTTCACTTTACATTGTTCCTTGTTATTAATTTCATGAAAGACAACACCGCAAGAATCGAGTCACGTGCCGATCAAAAAGATGAAATTACTTTCCAAGCGGAAGATTCGCTGGTCTGAAATCTGTGACGCCAAATCCACCAACTCCCGATAGAACAAAAAAACAAACAAAAAAACAAAAGAAATAGTGGCATATATGATTTTCTGTTAATTAAATAAATCGGATAATTCTGATACTGAAAACATTTTAGCAAACAAATTTTCAGCTTTTTCAAGTTGCGCCCATACCTGAAGCTGTTCTAAAGCATGAACAGGATTAGTACTTAGTAGGTAGATTTGCCTTTTTCATAAAAAAGGATTTTTTATTTTCTATGCTTAATGAAAAGTATTTAGGAATAATATAACATTAAAAAAATTTTTATTATGTTTCACTTTTAAATAAGATATTTATCAATTTTGTAACATATTACTGCAAAGTATCATCAAGATAAACAAAACAGTCTGTAAGATCGGTATCTATTAGTTATTTACAAAATATTAATTAAAGAATAAATTATTGAGATTCCTTAAGTACGTACTACCAAAGTTTAGGAGTTATGCACTTGCACGTGATAGCGTTAAACTTAACTCCGGCCAGTGTGTACGTTAATATCGTACACACGATGCGTAAGTTAAGGATGCTCCAAATCATAGATCTTTTTTTTTAAAAAAAAAAATCATTGATCTTTGAATTCTCATTACGTTATCAAAATCCCAAGTTTTCATTTGATGATGATCGACAAATGATCGGCAAATTACAGAATTTAAAAAATAAATCATGGTAAATCAAAATTTTCATAATGTTATATTATACCTAAATACTTTTCGTTAAAAATCCGATTTATTTAATAACCCATAAAACATAGCAATCAATTTTTTTCAGAAGTTCATGAAATTTTTAGAGTAGGTGCAATTCAATTCGATGATAATTATAACGATTATCGTAATTTACAGCTGGTCCTTGACTTTTCTGGGCACTGTATATTTAATAAAGATTTTGCCCATATTGGAATTATTTTTCTTTGTTTAAACAATTATGTAATCTGATTACATATTCACTGCATAACCATCTTTTTCGAAATATGAGAGGAAAAAAGCAAAACTTTTAAACAAGAAAATGCGAGAAAAGCAAATGAAATGAAAGAGGGAGGGAGTACGCGGATCCTAGGCCATTTAATGCGAGTCCCAGCATCAGGTTTATTTCTTTGTTCTCTCTTTTTAAGAAGTTTGTCTCTTAATGTTTTTTATTTACAAGCCAGATATGGGCAAATTATTTTTCATTGATAAGCGCGAACACAAAGTTTATATTTGAGAATGTATATACATATAAAACATGCACACACGTTTAAAAAATTCGGAATGAAATCTTTATTATATTCTTTCATAAAATAATATATCAGTCTGATAAAATAAGCTTTATACGTAATTGCACAGAATTGTATTTATACACGAGTTACAATTTATATATGAATTACAACTTATAATATATACACGGATAATATTTACACGGGATTACAATTTATACACGAATTATAAATCAAGTACCAATCAAATTTTTAATCAATCTATTTTAAATCCTTTTAATCTTTTTATCTTTTTTTCAAAGATATGAAAGATATAGATCATTAACTAATGTTCTATCTCTTATCAGCACGTCTTTTATTTTTTTATCTACCGATAAAATTTCACCGCAGTATTATATACCTAATAAAATGTCATTAATGCGAGCCAGCTTGAATTTCACGTGCAAAGCAAAGTTTCACCCGCAGTTATCCGCATTTACAAAGAAACTTTATGAAAATCATCACCATCCAAAGTTCAAGAACAACGTAAGAAATAACAATAAACTTTATTTTTACATTGTACGTGTGTTTCTTTCTTTTTTTTTTTGCAAGACATGATTACAATTCACGCCCAATTAATTATGAGGCTTTTTAATGAATGAAGGAACGCATGATTTTTTTTTTGATTCTCCGAGTTATTCGAGTTGTTCATGTTCATCCGTAATAGTCGTATTGTCAAAAAAAAAAAAAAACTTGTTTGAAACATTGAAACATTGAAACATCAAATGTTATTAAAATTTCTTTATTCTAATAACTCCTTTTTGATTATGTATATAAATATCCTTTTAAGAAGGTAAAGAGAAAAAAAAAAAAAAGATTGTATTAGGACAAGATCATCACAATTTTTTTTTTGTAGAAATTAATAATATTGTGGCTTTTTCGTGGGGTTTCAATACGGGACATACGGGACATACGGAATATACGGAATATAAGAGAGACATACGGGACATAAGGAACATACGGATATACGGAACATATTTTCGAATACTCACAACTATTATCTGTTATTAATATTGTTGATTTAATTGTTAATTAACGGATTTCACTTGTCTAATAAAAAAAGGGAATTTTAATGATAATAACAATAAAAATAGTAAATTAATGACTTTTTTTTTACTGTTTTGTACATTTCTATACGGAAAATTGTATAAGCATTATATATTTTCTTTTTTTGGCATATCAATTTAATAAGATTGATTATCAAAGTAGTAAAAAAAAAAAAACTATAAAGCCATAACAATTATCGCACATGATTTTAGCTTTAAATGTAATGGTGTTATGGGCTGAAAAGCATGATAAAGCACGTTATAAATTATTTAGTTGTCTTACATTTTTTTTTTATTGTGCAACAGTACTTATAATTGATTGGGTCTGTATTGGGGACTATTGGGCGGTTTTAAACAGTTTAAACCCGATAGAAAACAAAAAGAATAAAAAAAAAATAATTAATTAATTATTTTAGTTTTTTTAAATGAATATAATACCGGAGAATTTTATTACCAATAGAGATGAATTGGGTTTTCTTATTTGGTTAATTTAATTTATTGAGTCTGGACTTGTCTAGGATTGTTTGGACTTTTAGACTATGAATTATAAAGTTAGTAGAATTCGATAGAATGAATTTGAAGTATATAGTATAATGAAGTATATAGTATAATGAAAGTATAATGAAAGTATAATGAAGTATAATGAAGTATAATGAGTATATTGTATATATGATCATAATATGATGAATATGAATATTGGTTTAAAATGATATGAATTGTGAATAAAATAAATGATATGTACAAATGATATGAACTGTGTATGAACAAATAATATGTATAAATGATTGATAAACTTACAAATGATAATATTAATGATCAAATCATTCGTAATAAAAAATTTCATTCATCACATGACTACTAAACTATTTTTATTTTTTTTTTTCTTATTGTGCATTTATGAACAAAATGAATGTGAAGAAAAAGGATGATTGAAACAACCGAAAAGAATAATTAAAACACATTGTTTTTTTTCAAGATCAGGGAAGAAGGAAGGAAAAAAAGGAAAAAGGAAAATCCCTCCCCTCCAAAAAAAATTCTCGGCTAAAACATTTGTGCGACTACATTGATCATCATTGTGAATGAATTTTATATCCCTACTTATACAGTAAGAAGATTAGATGGTTAAATTAATTTTATTATTATTATGATTATTATGATTATTATTATTATGATTATTATTTATTTTTATTATTATTATTATTATTGTTATTATTTCCTTTTTTTTTTTCTCGGGTCAATCAGGTCAAATTAAAATTTTTTTTTTAAATGGTTTAATTTAATTAATTTAACCGAATATAACCTGCCCCAGCGCAGTCTCCCTGTAGAAAAATATAATTAAAAAAATAAAAAAAGAAAAGAATTAAAGAAGAAAATATCAAATAAATAAATAAATAAATAAAATATAAATAAAAAGATATAAAAATGATTTTAATAATAACATTATTTCATATTGTTCTTTTGTGGGGTGCATATAAGATTTATTTTTTTTTTCGGGTGCATGTAAGATTTCTATGACATTTTAGTAATTTTAATAATTTTTTAATAGGAAAAGAAGTAAATAAT